GCTGCTGATAACCAGCTACAGGACATACAGGTAAATATGATTTTCCAAAAATAAGATACTTATGAGCAATGGTTAATTTTATAAGCACAATAAAAGTTACATTTTGCCATTTTTGTTCTGTTACGAACAGTATGACAAAGTTGTATGTTCCTGATGTGTGAAAGGATAGAGGGAGAGTAGTGCAAAAACCTAATCCTACAAATCCTTCCAGCAATCTCCAGCCTTGCACAGGGTCAGAATTATTCAACAAATCAGCGGGCCGGTCTCCAGGGACAGCTTCTGCTGACAATTTAAACAAGCACAAGTTTTCCTCCTTCCTTAGTGAACTGATTTTCCTCTGAAATACACTCAGTGCCCCGTATAACTTCAGCCTTGTATTAAAAAACCATTTGAGGCAAACATTTAGTGAAACTAAAGCTGAAAAGTAACCTCTTCTGGAAAAGGGATTTTCCAAACTTTCGATATATCACACATTCAGTGACTAAAAGATTGGTGAAGGAACACTTTCGGAACTCTGCCGTAGTGTAACGAGTAAAGAAACCTTGTCAAGCACCTCGCTAACTTTGTCCAACAGCACAAAAGACAATTCTCTCAGCAACTGCCACCGATAATAGTGATCCATGTGTCAGAGGAAGCTTTCATGTTTAGCAGATATCTCCTTTAATTTATACAACCCCTTTGCCACTATTGATTCAGTGGCGACAGCACCCAAAGGATCAATTCCTGCCTTACGCAGTTTGGTCCAATTCCAGAGGAAACATTATGGATTTTTAAAATAGATTATGACAGGCAGTCAGCCGAGTGACAAATGGGTACTGCAGAGGCTGTTAGTGGCGCACGGCCAGACAGTGCAGATAGGGATCGAAGCGCTGGTCAAATACAGGTTCATAACTGGCCATCATTAACCCAGTGTGGGGCTGGAAAGAGCCCAGTCAGGAGTGCATTCAGCTCTCCCGCGCATGGGAGGGCAATTTGGCGCTGGGCAGTTCCCAGCCAAGCCCTCAGAGTGACAGACCTGACACGATCATTTATCAAAGCCTGAGAGCGCGCGGCTCGCTGGGGTCCCGCTAGAGCTGATTGCACGCGGACTGAAAAGTGGAAGCATTTTAGTTGAGACAGGAAGGCAATGAACAATCAGAGCGTGTCCAGAGAGTATTCATATTTCCAGCCTGGATTAATGTGTCCTTAGATAAACATACACTGCAGGCAACATGCTTGAGGACTACTGCCCAGGGGAACTTGTTAGTCCGAGTGACAGTATTTATTAAAACAAGCTGATGTTTTGTTTATACTTTTTGCCCCTCCAAATTTTTTGTTTAATTTGTTTTTTAGGCTTGTGCCCTCTTTGTCGCCCTGATCATTTTTAACCATGCAGATCTTCTTTTAAATCGTCAAAATCTTTTCAGTGTTCAGGATTCTTCCAGGATGCAAAATCTCATTTGGAACATTTGGAAAAGATGTATTTTACTCTTGTCTACCAATGATTTTATTTTACACTGATTAAGAGTAAAATGTAATGCCTTTATTTACGCTCTCAGGAGTTAGAGACAGTGTTCAGCCAATGGTCTCAACTGCGGCTACTGGATCTGAGTAGAAATCCTGTGTGTCACAAACCTAAATACAGGGACAGACTAATAACTGTCTGCAAAATTCTAGGTGAGAATTAGCTATCTTGTGAAGACGAGTATTGAGTCATTTAAAAATGTAATTATTTATTGTAAAAGAATCAGTGAATGGCTCAAATTGTTTGTCCTTTATTATGTCTTTTTTTTTATTCTTATCATTATCATTTTATGTATTTAATTTATCACTTTTAATGACATTTCAATGATATTTATTAAGCATTTTAATTACAGCTATTTTAATAGTTATTTTTATTGGTGGTGTGCTTTGCATTTTAAATTATTATTTAGTCAGTAAAATTATACAGAAACTGTATTTATTTCTTGATATTTAGAGGACCTCGATGGAAAACAAATAAATGAGCTGTCTAGGCAGTTTCTAATCAACTGGAAAGCCTCAAAAGATGCAAAGAAGAAACTAGAGGATGAAAAAGACATCAGAGGACAAATCACAAATCCACTTACAAGTATAAATATTGTGTGTGTGTGTGTGTGTGTGTGTGTGAGTGAGTGAGTGAGTGAGTGAGTGAGTGAGTGAGTGAGTGAGTGAGTGAGTGAGTGAGTGAGTGTTTACATTAATGCATTATATACTGTATAGAGGATTAAAATACATGTTATATTATTTAAATATATGACTTTACACACTGTATAATTTGTATTACAAATAAAATAGGGCCCTAACATGTCACCATCATCGCATTTGAATTGCAGATAATGTCATTATTGTTCTCTGATATTTACAGTAAAAAAATATTATTTATTTTTTGCTATAATGCATTTCTAGTAATGGGCAAGGCATAATTTATTTGCATTCCACTATTGTATATCATCAGCATGTGGTTGAGTAAGCCTTACATCCATTATGTCAGTTTCTGTGACAATGTGTGACTAACTCGTGTTTTGCTTTAGCTGATATTCAGAGGGGCCCCCAACATCTCTTTGCCCATGACCGCAGTAGCTCTCTGAGAAAGCCGTCAGAATTTGGGAAGCCCGGCGTTACATTTCGGGCAGACCAAGTTCAAGCAGACAGCAGAGGAAGAAGGTATGAACAACAGAAATTTGTGCATCGTCTATTTATTTATTTATTTATTTATTTATTTTTATTTAATCAAATACGACTTATCTTCTATTAAAAAAGGGGAAGAAATTCTTAGATAAAGCTATCGGTGTAAAGTTGCATGCAACTACTCATTTGTTGCCTTCAGACATGCTGGATAAATGCCTGCTGTTTGTCAAGTTGTATGACTCTTATTTTTCCCACCCATGCAAATAAACAGCTTTCTCCTTTAGAACTGGCCTGAGGTTAACCACAGTTCTGTGCTGTGTAATGTGACATCATCTTTTACTGCACAAATCATACCCCTTTGATATCTCACATTCTAAATATGTTAATCCTATTGGTTATCATATCAGTTGCTTTATCAGTGTGTGGCCTCTGAAATGCAGAAATGATTTGTTAATGTAGCTACAATAAATATGAACTGAATGTTTTTGTACTTATAAGAAAAAAAAATTAACAAGCAAGAGTATGAGTAAAAAGAATGATAATGCTGAATGACAGTTGTTTAAAACCCTAATTTTCTATGTTATTGTAGGGGTCCAGTAACAGAAGGATTTTACTGATAATTTATATAAGCATGCATATATTAGACAGTGTGTGCCAGGATGTTATTGTTCTTGGCTATTTGTAATATTAACTATTTACTATTTTGACTATTAACACAAAAAATATAAACACAAATATTGTTTAAATATTGTTTTAATAGTGTAATTCATGACATTTCATTTTATTTAGTTTAATTCATGAATGTTCTGGTATGTTCACAGGTCAAGAGGGCTAAATATTCCAATGCGGAGTGGCAGACTCTGAAAATCTGAAACTGCTGATTTAAAACCCTTTATCAGTGTCCTTTTGGCTTTTAAAAAGTCTTTGTCGTCTGTGTGAGGACTTTTCCTAAATACTTTCAATACAGCGAGTCTTCAGCTCTGTAACTTACATACAATGTGAATTTCTGAGCAGGTTCACCATAATGCACTCTCGTGACAAGTCTTTTGCACTGCCTAGTTTGCATCTTCAATTATATTTCTTAAATATTTGTGTATGTGTTTGTTTGTAATAAATTTACTTTGCAAAATGTTTGAGTATTTTTAATATCGTCATGTTTTTTACATCATTCTTTAGGATAAGGATATACATGTATTAGTAATGTTATTTTCATTAAATATAAATCCTAGTTGAAATAGGTCATTTTAATAACAAAATCTCAAAGTGAGATTTTATTTGACATTGGAAAGTGTCTGTGAAATCGCAGACTATAGACTACATCTATAGTTTAATTTTCTATTTTTAAGGTTTGATAATGCTTTTAGTTATTTACATTATTAAATACTTTTAGCATTTTGTGTTTTTTTGTTTTTTATAAAATGATATATTTAGAATATTTCTCTGATCAAATATGGAGTATTTCAACAAATGAATGCTCCAAATCTCACTGCATCCTGCTTTAAATTAAATTAATTAAATATGTACTTTACATTCGGAGCTAGCCTAATCATAGTATCTTTTAGATTCATAGCTAACTATTTTTTCGACTGAGGATTTATTTCAACTTACACATTATAGCAGATTTTATGATCAACATCATGGACACTGCGTTCTGGACTGGAACGGTAAATGAATATGAAATAAAACTGATTTTATAATAATGTTTAGACATATAGGCCTATAGAATACGCGGTGAGTACGATGCACGAATGTAATTTCTGCGTATTTGGGAAATTTGTATATCTACACCAGGGTATAACCTCTGAAAGATGTAGAGTAATTAGACAGAGAAGCTTACTTAACCTCATTTGCTCTGCTTCATAATTATTGGCCTGCGGGCAATACTGCTTCATCCTTAGGAAAACAATGTTTATTAAGAACAGTCTCAGATATACATGTTATGAATAATTCCATTCATTAATTCTCCCACATCTCCGTTTGCGGAAAACAGAATGATTAATTTAGGAGTCTCACAAGAATTTCCTCAAGTATGCCAGTTGATTGCAGTGTTTAGAGTTTATTTATTGGCTTTGTCCCAGAAAATGAAGCTGATGTCTGCGGCTTAAAATTATAATATCGACATGCCTTTTTAAAATGTTAAAGTAGGCCTATAGGCTAATGAAATTGTCGCGAGCACTGCCGATCTTTTTGCCAAACTTGAAAATTACAATATTGTTGAATACTTGGGTATAACAAACCAAATAAATTAGCACCAAACAAAGCCAATAAAGGGGATACGAGTAGCCTATTTATTTCTTAAATAAACAATATTTTATATAATTTTCTGAAGTTGTGGATTACAAAGTGGTTTACAAAGTAACCGAAAAAGGCTGCCTCTGGCGTCGGATAATGGACTGTACCTCCTACCGACCGATGCGAGAACGGCTCCAGTTGCCAGAGTTTTTGTGGCTTTTGATTAATTACACCGGAGTGAAACACTTGTCAGCTCTTTGTGTTGCCCGATAAATTAGAGGCTCATGAGACTTTACACAGTCATTCAGGTGAGGACGCTGCGTGTGCGCGGACATACAGCCTATCCGTAGACGACCTTTCACGCGCAGCACCACGACTGTACATTTTTGTACAACGAGAAAGGGACTAATAATTTACAACTGTACTTTTGCCGAGCTGTGGAGGTTTTCGTGCCTTGATGTGTGTTTCCTTAGGACAGCACTTGAAACGATAATACAGGTATGATTATTACATTTCAGTAAGTTCTCATGAAAATGCACCTTTACAAGTCTAATTAAAGAGTTGCATTAAAACTGCATGTTCTGATATGATTTAATGTAGCCTAAATCATAACTGCTTCATAAGCTTTGACATTGAATGACTCATACTGGATATGAGTTTTTGCGGGCTAACTTGAGGCAAATGTTCCCATAAAAGTTTTTAACGAGTGTCTGAGCTTAAACGTGTTTTTGACATATTCTTCAATATTTGTATAAATGTGCCCGTTTACCTATTTAAATGTGTATTTTTAACGTAGCCCACTATTTTAACCAGGTTAAGGGGTTATTTCAATGGTTGGAAGACAGTCGATCCGTATGGATGGCATTGGTTCTGTGACAGTTATGGATGACAGTCCCGCACCAAGCCCCAACTCGAGCCCCAGTCCCGACACGCTCTCAGCGGACAGCCGGCGCGCAGAGGCCCTGTCCCACGCCAGGGTGGTCCCGTCTAGTGGCCTCGGTGGCAGAGGGAGACCCGCAGCAGCCAACGCAGCGCGCGAGAGGAGTCGCGTGCAGACGCTCAGGCATGCGTTCCTCGAGCTGCAGAGAACATTACCGTCGGTGCCACCGGACACCAAACTGTCCAAACTCGACGTCTTGATATTGGCAACCACATACATAGCGCATTTAACGAGAACCTTACAAGAGGAAGGGATGGAAGAGGACAACACAAAACAAACTGAAGCTTTGAATTCACTTAAAGGCGATGGCTACTTGCATCCTGTGAAAGTAAGATCTGCTGTCCAATTATTTGCCTATTTTTACCATGAAATAGACATTTAAAGTAGAAATTTTTCACATTTCCATTAATTCACTATACAAGTTTTGAATAGGTTACTTTAAGATTGAGGTTTATTCTAGCCTACTTGCCAATATCCATTTTACGTGTGGCAATTCATATTATGAAACTGTTTTAAAATAAGTGTTTGTATTCATTGTTTTTGTCTTTCAGAAATGGCCAATGCGTTCAAGATTGTATATCGGTGCCACTGGCCAGTTCCTGGGTAACTCGAATGAAAATCAAGGGGCATCTTCATCATCGTCTCAAACATAGCCTAGATTATTTGCACAAAAGGTTGTTGGAAGTAATGATTTAAAAATGAAGGTTAAAAAAAATGTTGTTGTTTTAGTAATTTTGTTGCATAAATTGTCCAGTTGCAGCCTGTACATTTTTGTTTTACGCTACAAATGAACAGAAATCTTTATCATTATGTTGCCATACAGACAGCTGAATAATTGTGCATATTAATATATCCTAATTATTTCAAATATGTAAATAAGATTGAAATATTAAACTTTTGTGTTTTTTTAACTGTGGGTTTCTGCTAGACTTCTGTATTTGCAGTTCTGTACTTGTCTGAAATTCCGTGTGTTGGGTTATATGAGCTGTCATGCTTGAGCTTTCGGCTATGCACTTTCTGTTACAACATTTGCACTAAATGCATGTGTGAATAACTTAACATCCGTCATGTGAAGTGGTCTGTCAGAATCGCAACAATAGCATCACCATCCCATTTCTTCTTTTCACGTGAATAGTATGTGGAATAATAAATAAAAAATCTTAAACTAAAATTACACTGATCTCAAGTTTATCAATATTCTTATCGATGTTTTCCTAAATCATTCACAATGTGCAATATAATGTGTTCCAACAGTATTTACCATGCACTGAACATTTTAAATAGCCTATCAAAAGATTTAATTATTTTAAACTGTATTTAGGCTACAGTTATAATAGGCGTATAGGCTATCTCATGCGATGGCAGCATGCTGTAAAATTAATCAAGGAAACATAAATAAATAAAAAAAACTTTAAAGTGATGACAAATTACTGAAAAGTTGTGGGAAGCAATGAATATTGTTAACTCTGTAAAACCGTTTTAAACCCCCAAAAGAGAAAAGTGTATAGCCCCGATTACTATTGATCTAAATAGTAGCCTATATGGCTGACTGAATGGATCACTTTTATCTAAATTGTGGATATTATTAAATAGGGTATAATATATAGTAATACATTTTTTATAGCTTACTAGCCTATTTTGTGTGTGTGTGTGTGTGTGTGTGTGTGTGTGTGTGTGTGTGTGTGTGTGTGTGTGTGTGTGTGTGTGTGTGTGTGTGTGTGTGTGTGCGTGCGTGCGTGCGTGTGTGTGTGTGTGTATGCTACTGTGTAGGCTATACTTTAGGTTTGAGTAGCTAGATTCAATAAGCAAGCTTCTTTCATTAAAGAAATCAAATTCCAAAAGAATTTTTTATCAAACTTTACTGTGTTTTGGAATGATATCAATACAAACGTGTCATAAACGTAAGCTATGCCAGAGTTAAACAGTTTCAGACGATTTTATTTCATCACAGTCTAGCTAGCACATCAGCACGCATGTGCTGGTCCTACTAGGAAGTACTTAAAACACGAAGTACGCATGCGTCACATCCTTTTCTTCCCAAGAGTGGACTGAGCTGGTCGCACGTTCTACATGTTGCAGACAGTATAACATAAGGTAAATGTATTTCAATTAATACTTATACTGATGCATTCAAACATAAGTGTAAGTATTGTTTCAGCGATTTGTGCTGCTCATGAAATTATAAGCTCGTTTAGAGATTTTTGCATCCTGGGTTGGCCACGTGGTTGGTTCCCACACGTGTTGCAAAAATACGGATTTATTATACGAATTTGCTACGTGTTTTCGTAGAAGCATCATTAATAACTGGAATTTGAAGGATTTGAGCAACTGAATCAGTCCCGAGCATTATCAAGGATCGTCAGGCACGACTCGCGCGATTTCTCATAATGAGTCTTATCCATAGCATAGACTGTAAAAAAAAGACCTCATGGTGATGAGCCTGCTCATCCTGTTGCAAAACCGATCAGCCCAAATGTGTGCTTTTACTATTAAGTTCTCATGTCTTAAATTGGACGAGTATTCAAAATTGACATTACCTTTTTTACGTTATGACTTAATTAATTATATATATTTTTAATCATGAGCTTTTGAGCAATGATTTGGAGAAGAGATCTCAAATTACTTTGCTTTAGACCTCGTTTGAAGGGTTTATCTTGAGCTCAAAGTGAATACAGAAGTTTTGATTGGATGTATTACGTTTCTTCAGGGACCGTATGATCAATATTGTAATGGTGTCATGATTTTGTCAAATCTTGTTGTAATCATGACCTATCTTAGAAAAGGTTTTAAGTATCCCATGAGGACTGTTATAAATCATTTTGGCAGCAGCGTGTCCCAGATCTGGTGATAAATTGCTCCTTTGCCATTTGCTCTGCTGTCGGCAGGACTGTGCTCTGTCCGGCATAGGTCTGCTGTCCCTTGTGTGGCCTGACTGGTTTGGGAATCGTCTAACATGACCTGGATTGGGTAATCAGGGCTTTGATTCACTTGGAGGTGCTGTGGTCTTGGTGAAGGTCCTGACCTTGAGTTGAGCTAGCCTTGCCTAGGTCTTTGTGTTTGTGTGTGAGGGTCTACTCTCAAGCTGTGTTACAATGCCTTTTGACCTCTAGATCATCAGTCATCTTTTTGAGGTGGAATTGAGTTTTTCATTTTCCTCTTCCCTCAGTGCTGCTTATTTGAGGCACTAAATCTATAACTGAAATAACATGGGTAATTAGTATCATATTCATAACTTTCTGCTGCTTTTGTCATGTTTTTTTACTAAGAAGAATTAGAAGTTAAATCTATCCTTTTTTTTTCAATCACAGAAGAGGCAGATGAAGATGGCTGCAGCCAGTGGCCACTGCAAAGGTAAGAAACTGATTTTGCTAAATTGATTGTTTTAAACTAAAAGATGTGGACAAGATTACTGGGATGTAAAGCGTGTCGGATTGGTTAAACCAAAAGCAATGATTTCACGTTTTTGCAGTTTACTTTTCATGCCACATTGGGGTGCTGAAACTGACTGTCTGAAGCAACAGCAGAGCAATTGACTGTTTAGTATGCGAGTAAGAACATATAGCCACCTTCACTTATCCTCACTAAGTTCAAGGATTGCTACTGGTAAAGGGTGACGAGAAGTGCAGACGAAGAGAAACTTAATTTTCTTTTCTTTTTAGATGTACATTGTAAATGTGACACTTTAATCTTTTTCTTTTGTGAAATGAATGTTTGAGGAATGCGTGTTGCCATGATGAGTCACGTTTTGCCGTTTACCCATCAGACCAAATTGGATTGCTGATATTGTGACTATCTGAAGCAACATTAGAGTTGATTAGCCAGTAGCCTGTTTGAGATTTCACCAGCATTAAATTTGATCTTACTTATCCTCCCACCAGGTCCAAGGATTCCACTAGGAAAGGGTAACCTGAGAAGTTCAGATCATATGAAGACTGGCAAGTTATTTTTTCCTTTTCTTTTTGGAGTGAAAAATGTGTGTTTTTGAAAATTGCTTGTTACCATGATGATATCACATTTTCGCCGTTTACCCATCAGACCAGACTGGGTTGTTGACACTGTGACTATCTGAAGCATGACTTGAATTGACTACCCAGAACCCCATTTGAGAATACTACAGTATTGATTTTATTCTACCTCCCCTACCAGATCGAAGGACTGAATCTAGAAAATGGTGACATGAAAAATGCAGATGAATGAAGACCGGTTACTTGTATACTGGTAAATAATTATATACAATTCATTCTATACTTGATAATGTCTTTTACCATGATGATATCACATTTTCGCCGTTTACCCATCAGACCAGACTGGGTTGTTGACACTGTGACTATCTGAAGCATAAAGCAACTGCAGAATTTAATTGACTACCCAGAACACCATTTTAGAATACTACAATATTGATTTTATTCTACCTCCCCTACCAGATCTAAGGACAAACTAGAAAACGGGTGACAGAAGTGCTGATGAATGAAGACTGGTTACTTGCATACTGGTAAATTATATACAATTAATTCTATGTTTGATATTAATGTCATTTGTCATGATGAATTCACATATCTGCCGTTTACCCGTCAGACCAGATTGGGGTGCTGAAACTGTGACTATCTGAGGACATGTCTTGACTTAAAATAGACTAAAGCTTAGTTCCTACTTGTAATACCTTGCTTCATTCCTCTATACAGGTTGCGTAGGTGTGCACAAAATTCAAGATCTGCTTGCGGGATTCTTCCAGTGTACGGTCCCGCTGGTGCAAGGAGTCCAGGTCATGAAGAGCACAGGGAAACACTGCATCGGGTGGAAAAACAAGCGCAGAGGCCCCTGCATTCCCAAGACAAACTCTCATTCCAAAACACTCAACACACACAGTAACAGGAGCTTGATCCTAACTTTAAACTAGTAATGAAGTGCAAAAATGTGAATGGGTTGTGATCAAATGCACATATTGAAATAAATTATCTTAAAAACATTCCTGATTTTGTGTTTCTTTACTGAATGTTATTTTAGAATGACTGGATTTCAAAGTTTTTTTTTTTTGTATATTTGTTTAGACTTTAGAAAGACATAAAATGAGGAAACTAACCATGTTTCAGGGTGACTGAACTCTCGCACAGCAGGACTGCAATGACTGCATCTTCCTCCAGAACTTGCTTTCTCAGACTGAGTTTAGCATGAGCCTGGGCCAGAGAAATCCTAACAGAACCAGTAAATAATATTAGTTGTGTATGAAATGGTTAAATTTTTAAATCTACTTTTTATGTTGTGACAGCTTGTTTTACAGTAGCAGTTTGGATTCTTTAATTATGCTTTATTCCCCATCCCTTTTTTAACTAGTTGTTGGTGTACAAATGTCTTCAATCTATCTCTAAATATTAAACTATCATAAATGTTACACGTTTGCTGAGTCTGTTGGAAATGGGGAAGTGCTTAAAGCAACACAAGTGACTTTTCCTCTGCGGTCGCCCTACAGGTTGGAAGTGGAATTGTCCATTACTGCTGTCGTAAATAATTTAGCCTACCGCAGCCTACTGTGCACGCACATGCTCTGTTTATCCAGCACCAGCTTTGGAATCAACAATGGCCACAGACAAGGTAGAATATGATGCATGATTGTATGAAAGTGTAGTTGTAGTCTACTGTCGAGTACACTCCAGAGTCCAGCTATCGGCAATTGTAACGCTTGCCGTAAAGCAAGTCAAATTTGTAGTTTTCTCAGGTCTCATTCGCCACTACAGAAACGCGACCCGATCTGGCAATCTTACATAGCGTGGATATATCAGATAAAGGACCGCAAAGCGGTGGCATAAGTGCATTTCACCATGTCACGACTTGATGAACCACTGAAACGATTTTGAAAACATTATTTTAAGGTAAAAATTCTTAGTTGGTGTTGCTTTAATTTGCAGACTTGCAATATAACTGCTCCATCTAGTGGTCTAATATGGCTTTGTACAGAAGAGTTATCAAATGTAGCTTTCTTTTTTAAAATCAGTTCAAATGCTGCTGCAAACTGTTAATTTTGTAGTGCTTACAGCAGTTTGACAGAAGAGACAGAGGATCTCTGTGTTGAGTCTGAGCGAACCCTGCGACTGGCCATGTAATAGCCATGGATCATCCTTTCTGCCTCAGGGCTCATGTCCACCTTCAGCTCCCTTGCATGAGCCAAGAGCTAGAAGATATTCAAGTGTGGAAAAACAGGCTATTTTCAAGTAGCTAAGTCTAAATGTACATTACTTAAAATCTTTAACATTTCAAACTAGTAAACCGAAAAAGAAACGGCAGTCCAAATACAGTGTGTTATACTGTACACTACAGGCCAAAAGTTAAGAATTCATTTTTTTTAAAAGAAGCCTTTTATGTTCACCAAAGATACAAAATACAGTAAAAACAGACATTAAATATTATGCTGAGTTCATGGCATAATTGCATAAATTTCAACTCTGAGCTGGGAATTGTGTTTCTATTGCAACACTGTGGTTAAATGAATCTGCAGCGGTCATGTGGTACAAGTAGGAGCTCTCAAATTAGTAGTTTGTAATTACGATCTGAACGAGGACGTGAGCGCTTTACAAGTTGAAATCTCGTAATTATGGTAATTACGATATGATGTGAATGCACCTTTATTACAATTTAAAGGGGTTTCTATCCTTTTGACCGGTAGTGTATTATTGACAGACCTCTTTGTAGTCTTGTGTGGTAAACTGCATGCATGCTGGGTAAAGTGGTTCTCTTGGGCACATGGCCTGTCTCAGGGTATGCACTGTCATGGACAGAAGTGGATGATTGCCGCTTGTTTCTCGACACTGGACTACGAGTCCAAATGCCCCTGCAAGTTGAATGGGAACTGAGCCCATTTCCTGCATTTATAAAATAAGCAGATGCTGTAAAACCATGACTACTTTAAATATTTACTGATGCAATACTATAAAATAACTAAGTAATTTTTTAGACAATTTGGAGTAACCGGGGGTGCAGTTCAGCAACTGATACAAATGAGCACAATGAGGAACTCTCCTAAAATAGATGGCATTGTCTCTGGTTCCTGTTCCCAAATACAGAAAAAGGTGGGGTCCTCTGTGAAGCATTCCAGCAGTCCTTCTAACCAGTCTTTTGGTATGTACTGCATGCTTATAAAATTCCCACATTATCATTCCCATCTCATTTCCTGAGGAAAAGCTCCATTTGACTATAATAAGATTGGATATGAACCCACCACAGAACCCAGCACCTCATTATCACATCTGGCTGTCCTCTTGGAGGGGGAAGCAGCATCAGCTAAGGCCCAAAAGTTACACTGGATGGGGAAGGAGAGCTGCTGGTCCATATCATCACCATACTTCTTGGCAGGAATGAAAACAGACACAGTTCTGCTTTCAAGAGCTGAAGGAAAAATAGGTATTTAGGTTTGCTGTGCTTTAATGCATGTACTGTCTTTCATATCTAGCTGTCATCTGTGATAGAAATAATGTTAAACAATTAATTGGCACCAGACTGAAGCATGTCCATCTTGTCTTTCTTGTAGCATGTGAGGTCTCCCAGCAGACAGACTCCTCCAGATGCCAGCAAAGCTGAACCTGCATGGATGTTGGCGGTACCTGCTCCATGTTCATCTCTAGATAGAGATGCCAACAGCTCTCCTGTCAGCGCATGATGAATGCCTCGTGAGGCCAATGGCAGGCTATATCTCATCAACCTGTCAACGAATAAACACATACTATGCATCATATTTTGGTGATCATTATCAAAATGGACATGTGCATTTGATAAAGCTGTACCTATCAATTATTAGACTGTCACTGGTGAGAGCAAGCACATCCAGGTGGTTGGACGAGTCTGGATTATCTTCAGTTTGCACCAAGCTAAGAAGTAGCCCCAACTTTAATGTGTTGTAGAGTCCCGGTGGGATCACCGGGGAACCAAATGAGTTGGCTACAATGGCAGCGAACCTCCACGGGGAACAGGCCGAGGCTGCCTGCAGGTTCTGGAAGTTGTTGCTAACCAGACGGGAGCCTGTGAGCGGCAGTCAGGAGCAAATTACTTTGACATGCTGTGAATTTGTCTGGCTGTTTTTACAGCATCAAAGTCAAAACAAGACCTTACATTTTGAGGTCCATGGTTGGACGCTGCAAGCCTCAACACTCCAGGTTACATTGGGCCACTGGTGCACATGAGCTGGAATCCCCACAACTCGGTACAGATGGCCGATTCTCATGGAGTTGCACAGTTCATCTAATTACGTTAAGAGAAACAAAACAATCACAGTTGGGGGCTGGTCTTCACTTATTATTTTGAGAAACAAGCTCACCACCTACATGACTGCCAAAAGAAACACCGCAGGCTCTTTTAAACAATGATTCCACTATGACTTGTAGCAACTAATGAGTGTACCTTACATTTATTAACATGTATGTTCAGTAACTAGAGCCTGGCGTATTGAATTCCAGACTAATACTAGGTCAACACAATATGCTAATACCATCCAGGGAATCTGTGGCCTCTCCAGTTGGCTAACTGAGAAATATTATTGAAGGAGACAGGAACACCCAATCTAATACTGAAAGACACTGCGAGAGGATGTGTTTTGGCAGTTTATGTATTTGAGAGCTTTGATTCAACCTTATGAAAACCAGGTTAATCAGGCATGACAAGTAACAAACTAACTGGATTATTTCCTAATGGGTGGTTTAAAGGTAAAGTTTATATGCAATACCATGAGAAAGTAAAAGGGGGTAATATAGGAAACAAAAAGTGCATTTACCTCTTAGGAAAAGGGTGACCGACTGATATCTTAAGGAAGCAGCATCATGAACTCCCAAAATATCCACTGCTTTTACATGCATGAGCTCAACTAGCTGTTTATCTGTGAATTGAATAAAAATATAAAATAACTGTTTTCTGCTGAACTTAAGTTAAAGTAACATTAAATAACATTATAAATATATTTACTTTCACATTTGATCAATGCATAATGTGTCGTTGCTGAATAAAAGTATAAATATTATTTTTTAAATCATACTGATCACAAACCTGAATAGTAGTCTTTGCAACTATAAAGTTTACAGATTTTTTCCCCCATGTATCAAGTTTATATTTTATATAATATTTCATTAATGTTTTTTATTTATTTATGTTGTCTCACCCCCTAAAACACGAGATTTCACATCCTCTTTCAGCGGTGAAGAGCAGAGAAAGCAGGTAAAATCACTTCTAACTGTGGCAGACTCTGTGGCACCCGGTGCATGAACTCTGATATGATGAAACCCTTTGGACAAATTGACAAATTGTGTAGTACAAAAATAACAAATAATGCCCATAAAGTTAATTAGGTTACCTACCTCTTGAGCAAGGACATGTCTCTTCTGAGCAGAGAAATCTGGCCCCTTGTGTATATTTGGTGACACTTGTCATGGCAATTACAAGGCCCTCCAAAGCTAAAGGTCTCATTGGACCATATCCACGAGGAAACTCAGAGAGATCCAAACAATAGTCAGGAAAAGGTGGCAAGTGAGTTGGCTTTAAAACAACATTAACCTACAGAAGAAAAAAAATATTATTTTAATATTTTTTATATTTTGATACACTGATGGCTCTATTATATGATTATCTAGTGAATTTCAAGAATATCCAAGTCGGTACGCAAACATACACTATCAGTCAAACGTTTAAAAAAATATATATATATGTTTTTGTCTCTTATGCGCACCACGGCTGCATTTGTTTGATCAAAAATACTGTAAAAAATTTTATATTGTGAAATTTTATTACAATTTAAAGAACTGCTTTCTATTTAATATATTTTATTTATTCCTGTGATGGCAACGCTGAATATTAGCAGCCATTACTCCAGTCTTCAGTGCCACATGATCCTTCAGAAATCATTCTATGCTGATTTGCAAAACATTTTTTTTTTATAATATCAATGTTGAAAACAGCTGCTGCTTAATATTTCAAAAACATTAAAAACTTTTGACCAGTAGTGGACACATAAACAAACAAATATAAGTGAAATATGAATTTAATTAAGCTGTTCCTTACCTGGCTTTCTGTTTCTATGTGTTCAATAAGTGACAGAGTTTTTATAGACAGATAACAAACCTGAAAAATAACCACTGCATTTTCATTTGTTTGAAATACAGAGTAGTTTCTAAATGTAAATATCAATGTGGTCTGTTAAGCACAATACAAAACATGACATTGTTTCTTTTTTCACCAACAGGAAACTGTAGCTGGTAGAAAATGCATGGCTATGCCATTTTGGATAAGCAAACGTGAGGTAACTGACTAATAAGTTGGGGTATTTTGTATATTTTATTTGTGCAACTCACTGACTGAAAGAGTGAAACAGCTTTGAGAGGGTCGTGTAGTATACAGTCTCCCAGTGGGGCGTCGAGCTCAAGCATATCTGAGGGACTTACATCAAAACTGAACCGATACACGGCCCCCATCTGCTGCGCACCTGAAAGACATTTACCCCCCTTTCAACAGTTATGGATATAATAATAATAATAACAAAAAATATAATGATTAATCTAAAACGTCACATGAAAACGGATGTGGACACTGTATGTATCACGTGCACGAGCTCCTGTCCACTGAGGGAAACTACTAGATGCATTTAAACCGCTAATAATGCTCCCAAACTTTATAAACAAACCTTTAAAGACATTACAGTCTTCAATGAGTTTACGCAATCCACCACTTCTATCTAAATAAATTACTATTGCTTCTTTTAAAGAAAGTAGACTATCCATATCTCCGCTCGGCAGTTGGGCGAGAAGCTAGACATCAATATAAAATATGCAAATGGGATGCATCACACGTGACTCAAGAAACATAGACTCGAATAACGCCCATAAACAAACATTTTAAGCAGTATTTAATGAGTGTGAAACACACCGCATCTATTTAAATGTATTATTATTGCTTAATTTAATGTATTTCCCCATCCCAAATGTACTGTGAACATAATACATGCAAAAAAGAGGCAACATGTGACAGCCAAGTGATTCAAGAAAACGTGTTTACTTGTACAGTACATCATTTAAAGGTCATGTCATAGGTCAGTAGGCACTATGGTGTCTCATCTCATAAGCAGAGGGTGGCAAATTAAATAGTGGTTTATAACAGGGTCATTGTCAGTATTTAAGTGCTATTAACTCTAAGAAATCTAAGATGCAAATAGCGACAAATGTATAATTTACACTTTACACTATGGCTGTTAATGACCCGTAACTTACAGGGTTTACTGAAATTCACTTCAAAATAGCTTAAAGGTCTGCCTATTTATCTAACTCACATATTACACAGTATAAAGGGAATATATATTAATATGTCAAGCAATAAATTAATTGCTTGTGTTGACATTATATGGAAAAAAAATTCCCCTTATAGTAAATTTCTAATAAAAGACTAAACTACAAAAACTTTATTGTTCATATATACTGCACAATATTATAAGCAATCAAGTGTAAGAGTTGAGGCAAAAACAAGGAATGTGTCAAAGTGGATGTTTTGTTTACAAATATCACCAGCCCTAGAAAATATTCTCAGGAAAACAACATCATTACTTCAGCTCCTGAGCTAAACTCTCAGGTAAGGCGTTCAATGTTAAACAAAATATAATGTTATTTCTGCATAAAAATAAAGTTTGAAACACCCTGCATCCCAAAAGGTTTATGCACTGCTTCTGTTAAGAAACAAAAGGGTCCACCCTCCGATCGGGACATCATGCTCAGCAATATGCTTCCCTTTCATCAGAGAGAGTGTTCACAGATTTTTAATAAACCTCTCTGTGGATCGCCATAAGCAGCGCCACCCTTAAAGGAAAGAATCTTCTGATGGCGGAGCGTAAGAAAATCCCAGGAAGGCATCATCAGCTTCCATGACACTAGCATTGATGATTGACTGCCCTGAAGAGAAGCACACCGAGTTTGGCACAGTTTCCTCTGTAAACTCGGGATCAAAGTTTGAGATGTCATACTGGGATTCCTGCAAGAAAACATTTGAGAGTTGACTGTTTTAATATACTTAGGTATAAAAGTTTGAAACTTTAGCAAAATAATTATGTTGTTAAATCTCACCACACTAGGGTTGAATGGAGGAGGAAGCTTTTTCTGTTCAAGGTCATCCCAGTTAATGGATGAGAAAAATTCATGTTCTTTGACTTCATTCTGTAACAAATAGCATACAAGTTCTTTTTTTGATATTCCAAGATATTTTAAATTCAACATAGCCTGACTGTTTGGTTGCTTTGTTGGCATTTTAACGCCATGCCAGCTTCCTTGGCTATTTTCATGGCGAGTAACAATATTATAAGATGTATAGAAATATTATAAAAAGAGCAACTTCAATTTTACTTTGGAAGAAACTAAAATGGGGTTCAGGGTTATTTATTTATTTATTTTTTCATTGCCTGATTTGAATGCCATGTATCAGGAAACTATACTGCAAAAACACTATTGAGATTCTACTAAAATGTTTGACACAATCATCCACCAGGGGGTGATATATAAGTACTAAATATCTCACAAAGTCATCTCTGAAGCCAAGCCTCCTGGTGTGGTCTTTCTCCAGCAGGGCCTGTAGGATGGACCAGGCAGCTGTGGATGCCCCAGGGCGCATGACAAGCTCCTTGTGAAGAATGTTGTCATACATCTCATGTGTGTCCCTGCTGTAGAACGGAGGCTGTTGGGCATAAAGGTAAAACAAGATTTAAGCTTTACTACCTATGTATTTCAGACAACTAGCCAGATTTTTATTTGTACCTTACCAGCCCATAAAGCATTTCATAGAGCACAGATCCCAGACACCACCAGTCCACAGTGTTATCATAGGGTTGTTTCCTGAGTACCTCTGGAGCTAGATACTATCAAAACAATTATTGCATTAAAATCGTTATGTTATTCTACCCTCCAAAAGCTTAATTTGCAGTTAATAGAGTGCAGCAGCCATGACGCCAGAACCCGGAAGACTAATTCGCTGGTTCCCTCAAGATTTTCCTATGGGTTTTTAATATTTATTAGTAAAATAAGGTCTGTGGTAAACATAACTTGACGATATTTGGATGCTTTTCTCTACAACATAAATTACACCTGCCCAAATCGAAAAGGAGAATTTTTAAGCTGTTATGTTTATTATAACGTATGTTTCTAATAAGTAACTAGATAATAACGTTTGGGGTGCAAGTGTGTGTAATTTACGTTGTAGAGCAAAACATATGTTTACCACAGACCTTATTTTACTCATTAATTGAAAAACCCATTAGGAAAATCTCAAGGGAACCACTGGTGAATTAGTATTCAGGGTTTCGACGTCACGACTATAGCACTCTATTTTCTCTGAAGAAAATGTAACAAGGGTTATCTAGGCAAGTGTGATGACCAAATATGTAACAATTTAATAAAAAATAATCACAATAAGTATTTTTTACTAATTAAACCATATATTCACTGTAACATATCACAGTAACATGTTAAAGACACTTTTCAAACATAAAATTAAAGACACATGCTATACATTACCGTTCAAAAGTCTTTGGTCTGTAAAAAAAAAATTCCCATTTAAATCTTATTTTAAATGTAATTTATTCCTGTGAATTCCAAATTCCAAAGCTGAATTTTCAGCATTATTGATCATGATGATTACATCATTTCTTACTATTAATAATGTTGAAAACAGTTGTGCGGTTAAATATTTTTGTGGAAACCGTGATATATATTTATCAGAATTCTTTGAATAGGAAGCTCAAAAGAATAGCACCTATTTAAAATAAAAACGTTTTACTGATCAATTAATTATGTCCTTGCTGAATAACAGTATTCATTTCCTAACAAAAAAAATCTTACTGACACCAAAGTTTTGAACAGTAGTGTAAGCATCATTCATCCATCGTATTTATATTATACAATACCTCAGGTGTCCCACAAAATGTGGTCGTTGTGTCTGCTTGGGAGATGCCCTCTTTACACAGTCCAAAGTCAGTCAAGACTATATGTCCCTTAACAAACAAAAGATGCCAACAGGAACATTTTCAGGAAGCATGTCACCACACAAAAGGCCTATTCTTCACAGAGCCAAAGACTCTAGTGTCTGACTGGAATATTTGGCAGGGCCTTGAAACCTCACAGTTTCATCAGATTTGACAGGAAATGCACAAATAAAACTTAACCTAATCTCTAGCATTCTTACAAATTAAAATGAAGTCTTTGGTTTCATTGCTATATTTTATTTGGCTGGCCAAAGCTATACTTCGTACACCTCGTCTCGGAAAATCAAAAGAGTTTGTTATACTTCACAGTGAGGATAGATTACTCTGTTTCCCCTGGAACTCTCACAACGTTGATCAGCTATGCTCTGGCAATGATAAAAGTGGGGAAAAAAGAGGGATACTTACTTGAGAGTCCAGCAGGATATTTTCTGGTTTCAAATCCCTGGGAACACAAGAACACTTAACGCGTTAGCATTTTGTTATATGATTTCAGCCAGGAACAATTCAACTGAAAAATGTTACACAGAATATTACACAGAAAAACCATCAACAATGAATTATGGCTATTATAATATGACAAGACAAGCCATTTAATTCATATGAATAGCAATCCCAACACACCCTATGAATGCAAAATATGCTCTCATGATGGCCATTTCACACGAGTGTAATTTCAAATGACTACAGTCAAGTCAGTTCATCAATCACAATTTTTCAAGTACAGTTCCAAGTCACATTATGGCAACAACAGGGAAAACCTGAGGAGGTGTAGCATGTGTCTGTTAAACATTTCTCTGCTCCTGGGAATTCTCACACACTTTAACAGCTAAATATCATCTGAGAACCACCAAACCTGTGTATTTATAGCTTGAGTGATTCTTTAATAAAGCTGCATTTACCTGTAAACAATGTTAAGAGAGTGCAAGTAACCCAGAGCACTTGCCATCTCTGCGATGTAAAACCTAGCTCTGGGTTCAGGAAAGGTCCGCTCTTTTTGCAGGTGAAAGAAAAGCTGTAATGGAAAGAATCAAAAATTGCAATATTCACTTAGTAAATGCAGAAAATAGTCAGGCTACCTATTACATCATGGTTTGTCATGGCTATTTGTAGCCTGCCTCACAATGCTACTGATTGTTTATGTGATTTTACACTAGCTGACATTTAAAAATATGTTCATCAGACTTATAAAAGCTAAAAAACAGGAAGTCAGACCAGTGGTTTAACTGAGCATGTGAATAGGAACCATGCAAAATGCCAATAAAATGACCAATAATTTGCAACAGTCATGCATGGGCTTCATCTCACATGGCAATCTCCAACATTTCCTTGTTAAAGTGATAGTTCACCAAAAGATTCTGACATTATTTACTCACACTTATGTCATTCCAAACCTGTATGACTTTTTTTCTTTTTCTGTCAATTTGTTGTTTGTACGGACAAAAACAGTTCTTCAAAATATATTTTGAGTTAGGCAGAAGAGAGTTTGAAATGAAATAAGGATGAGTAAGTGATGACAATTTTTGGGTGAAGTATCCCTTTAAGACATACAATGACAAATGTCACTGTCAGCAATAGCTCTATTTATAACATATTGGTTTAATCTGCCCAAACAGTGGCTTTTGAGATGTGATAAGGCAGATATCAGCCTTGAGTTTCACAACCACAAATAATACTCACTTCTCCACCATTGACAAAATCCAGGACAAAGTATAATTTGTCTGTTGTCTGAAAGGAATAGTGCAGTCCAACCAGGAAGGGGTGTTTAACATTCTTCAGCAACACATTACGCTCAGCCATAATGTGCTTTTGCTGGCGTGAAGAGAATATCAAAGGCATTCATTAATCAAATGTCAAAGAACATAAGAGAGAGAGGATTAATAAAGTTTTGGTTTTAAAACAAAGAAAATCGTTACCTCTCTCCTGTTTAAAATGACCTTTTTTTGCAAGACTTTGATGGCGTAACACTTCCCATCCCGCTTCCTCTTTGCAAGGAGAACCTTTGTGTGGGAGAGGACACGGTGGGTTAGCAACGGTTTCACCTTCCAGTACGGCCACTCGTGGACAAAAGACAGACAAGCTCTAACTTCATAACTGAGATACTTTCACTTCCTGAATGGAGAGTCCGTGGCTTAGAAACAAACACTATGTTTAACCATACAGCAAACAAAACAGAGAATTTATTAAGGCTCAGTGACATTCAGAGCTTTCAGTAACTGACACATAACATACTGCAAACAAGGAATTGACCCAGTTTCTCTCACTACTGTGGCAGTGAATAATTGCACAAAATTTACATCAAAATGTATTATATTTCAAAAGAAAATTTACCTTTCCAAAGCTTCCCTTTCCTATGACTTTAAGAAAGTCAAAGTCAGTAGGCTTTGCTCTATGGAAAAAATATGGAAATTAAGGCTAAAATAAAACCATTTGCATCATTAATTTCTAGGGATGCACTAATATGAACATTTTGGCCGTTACGATAACCGATAATTCTTTATATTTGAAAGCCGATAACCGATATATTGGCCGATAAATCTAAATCCAAATTTTTATATAATTTTTGAGAGCCTGATTACAAAAACAAAAGTCTCATCATTAAAAGTCATGTCCCAAGCACACAATTATAATGATGTTCTAATTATAATTTTATGTAGCCTATATGACTGACTTGCTGTAAGTGTAAGTATATGTGTAAGTATGTTACACTTAACGGTATTTTTCCTTTTTGGTATTTTTCAGACATAGTTTTTCCTTTCCCAATCATATTTCAAGCAATTCAAAAACATCATGGCGAACATTGGCATCTTAAGTGTCTCAGTTGAAGGAAATAATCCATTATGTATCTGCTTTAATATATCGAACCGATAACGACAACATTAAAAATGAACGTATATCGGCTGATACTGATATGGTGGCCAACATATTGTGCATCCCTTTTAATTTCCACCATTTTTTGCTACCAAATTTATAAACAATTATAAAACACTTACTGTGGGTTTGCAGATGGTCCCAGGTTAATGTTTCTAGAGGTAGAGTTACTCTGTAAGAGATATGACAAAGATACAACAACTAGGTATGACTCAATTCAAAGTTGTAGAAAAACATGAACTTTTATTTCTTTTTATTTATTTATTATGAATTTATTTGCATATGGACAGTACATAAATATAAAAAAAAACTACTAAAAGTAAATCATAAACAGAGATTGTATTGCAAGTTATTTCACATATTAGGTCCCTAGAATGATTTAAAAAAGAAGGGAAAAAAAGCTATACATAATTATATTTTGAACAAAACATTAATTTATAAATAACTATAGCATGTCAAAAATGCTTAATATATAACTACATAACACTCAATGCCTGTGAACACAGCAAGCAAGCGAGACAGCTAGTAAAGTATAAAGACAGTTTACTCAATACCTTATATATTAAAAACATAATATTAGTTCAAATACCAACCTTGTCATCTTCATCCTCTGAGGCATCAGAGAAGTTTTTAGATTTGTCCATCTGCAGAAAGTCTTTGACATCAGGACTGCGCATTTGAAATGAACATTCACATGTTAGAGGTCTGACTGAGGCGATACAAAGCCACAGCTGTGAGGAGAAATATAAGCTAACATCAACAGCTCTCTGTAACAAGAACCGTAACCATGGTGAATTTGACCGAGAATCAAAAAGAAGCATCTTTTATTTGGCACAAGTTCACAAGATACAATCACATCAACTTTGTACTCAAAGTTCAGAGAGATATCTAGTTGTGGCTGGTTTTGGCTTTTCCATCCAAAGACCATTCAAATTTTACAAAAATGTAGATGCATTGACACTTTGAGTGGTGAGAGAAACTGAAGGAACATTAAAAAACTGGCTGATATACTCACTGGTTGCAGAGCTGTGGATGGGACACAATCTTCTGAATGAACTCATGTAACCCCGCTCTTCTCTGTTTTATAAACTCTAAGAATTACACATAAAACATAGGCGCTTCATAAAAAATCATTTTGACAAAAATGTGTATAGCAGTAGTTCTCATCTGGTTTTGCCTCATCTTACATTAATCAAGTAGTGAGCCAACACAATATAACACATTTTTATCATAAAAAAGGAAACAAAAATCCCAATTATTATGAACTGCATATAGGTAAAAAATTCAAAATTATAACCATGAAACAGGCTGAATAGGATAATGTACAGTTTTGGTTTCAAAATGGCTCTTGAATTTTGGTTTCATGTTCGTGGTAGCCAATAATTCACTGCACTAAACACTTTGTGGTAGACACAAACCATGTTTATTCTCATTGCAAGTGAACCCATATTTATCCATGTAGTCTGAATCATTATTTTAATCTAGCATAGTTTTGTTCATGGTTTTTGCGGATGTCTAGCAACCTGTCCATCTTGGCATCTGCTTATTTACCTAGCTTCCAGGAAGTGACATGTGAATTTGCACCAAAATAAAGGAGAGCATGATTGCTGATATCAAAAGCTGTGCATCCAAAAGTGATAATGCAAGCTTTTGATATTATCATGCTGTCCACGACCTAATCAGATCTACAACCCAATTTTGATAACTTCTCATGATTAAAATCACCCCTGACAGGAGATAACTAATTTATCAGTAACTTATCAAAACCAATGCGGTCCAATGTGAATACAAAGTAAACCCTCAGTGGAGCATGGGAAGCTACCGTAAAAATATGCACCAAATAATTAGACTGTTATTGTCCAGTGAGACAGCAATTATCCAGAGAGAATGAGGGGGGACGAGAAAGAAAAGCAGAGAAAGAATAAGACCAATGGTGAAGAAGCCTTTAGAACATGAGCACAAATTTTGCATGTGCTTCCAATGACCAGATGATTTCTCTATGAAAAAGATCTTGACCACATACTGGCCACATAATTGGTCGCACATGAGTTAAATACAATTGGTACTTGGGTGTGCATTCTCATTCTGTTATTTATGCACACAACTTTGCTGCCACATTGTCTGAGAGCATAACATGAGATTAAACAAGGACAAAGATTCTATAAACTCGGGCAGAGCGGATTTAGCATGGCTGATTTTCTGTAGGGAACACTGTTGGATAATCAAATTTGTCAAATACACATGATCTCTGTTAAGCTAAATGAAGCAAAGTCACTAACGTATGCGCACGAGATGACAGAATTTTCCTACGGGCTCTGTACAATATGCATTAATTCATGAGAAATCAAGGAAATGTGAAATACCTGGGTCAAAGTTGTCTCCAAATATTCTCTTAGCAGGAATCTTCAAATTCAGAGCAGGAAACAGTTTTTTCAACTGTGTAAAAACACAATATATTTTTAAAAAGCACTACCATTCAAACGCATGGAGTCAGTAACAATTTTTTTTTTTTTTTTTACAAATTAAGATATTGACATAGAATACTTTTAAATTGTAATAATATTTCACAATATTACTGTTTTACTGTATTTTTAACTAATACTATAAACGAAGACTTTGTGATTATAATAGACTTCTTTAAAAATCATTAAAAAAATCGTACTGACCCCAAACTTTTGAACGGTAGTGTATGGTTTGTACAGGACATTTTACAAAAAAGATACATTCCAAAAAGAATAAAGGTTTTATATTTTAAAACTACAAATCAAATTACTTACAGTGTTGTACAGTTTATCAAACTCTGCATATCTCCGGAACACAAACCACTCATGCCTCCCAACACTGACCATTACTTTGTAAACCTGACGATACAAGAATGAAAACATTCACATATCCGATGCTCTAACATAATATTTAAAAAAGAGTGAGACAGAGCGTGTATGAGAGCATCAGAGGTATTGTGACTCACAGTATAGCGTTTATTCTTGTCTCTCTGTTCATTGTAGCAGGGAATGCTGACATTGGGGCAGCTAGGTTGCTCCTCCATCCTGAGGCCTCTCAGAATCTCACAAGCAACGGCTCACAGGTCCTCAGAACGCTCCCCTGCCTCTTGTGCACACCTGATTCGGATGGGAACTCTCCATTTTGGTCCTGCACAGAACATAAACATAAGCAAGATGTTCTACCACCATCAAGTGCTCTTTTCAACAGTGTCCAGCGTCCAATTTAGCTCCAGAGGGCCTTGCATGACAGGACAGAAAGGCCACTCAGAGTCACTAATCAAGTGTGGCATGAACACAGAGAGGAGCCTCAGTCTGGCCAGCCAAGCGATGAGTCTCCACCTCTCTTTTCCTCACATTCTTTTATCCTCCCCTCTGCTTCTCTCCAACTGGGAGGGAGCAAACAGGGATATTCTTCTTTCATATGCCACTTCCACATACTCCCTCTGTCAAGTGCAACACACCAGTGCTCTCTAGGTGGTCGACATTCTTCTTCCCCTCTGAGGTACTGTATATGAGGTATTTTTAGAAAACGCTGCTCTGGACCTACAACAAGATGCAGATTTAAAGGCCAGGCAGAGAGAGTGAATGAGCACGGATAAATATTTCTGTGCACAGGAACACTGACATTCCTCAGTTTATGATTTTTTTAAAAATCAGCATTTTCAGCAACAGTTTTAGCTTGATGACAGGTAAAAAAATGAAAATAAGAAAATATTAAAAAATAACCAAATATATATATATATATATATATATATATATATATATATATATATATATATTTGAGAGAGAGAGAGAGAGAGAGAGAGAGAGAGAGAGAGAGAGAGAGAGAGAGAGAGAGAGAGAGAGAGAAAGAGAGAGACTTTATATATAGCTAGTACTTTGTATAGTTTAGAGACACTTTAAATACACCAGGCTTCATCAAAATAATGACCACCAAAACAAAGAAAAACAGACAATTTTCTAGAATACTAAACATCTTTACGCATATTATAATTATTTTTAAAATAACCAGTAGAATAAGTACTCTTCATCACACTGCGTGACATGAAATACAAACTAAATGTGTCCAGATGAGATAACAGACTGTAGCAGTCATAGATTACCGCATCGCTGAGATCTGTATTTTCTACATTCATGAGAGCTTGGAGGAATGTCACAGGTTTATTTGCCTACGTGGCCATTGAACTATTCAAGGATTTTGACACACATCCATATTCAAATGTGTCAGATATATTAGAGCTCTAGTATTGTTTTAAATATGCAAATAAATGAACTGCCCAGTGCATCTGCATTACCTAATGATTACCTGCAGTTTTCTTCAACTGAAAACAGTCACCAGGAAGAATAGCCTTATTGAAATGTCTGTTCCAGAGTCAGAGCCAAATAACCCAACAGAAACACTTCACCTTGAAAGTGAAACTAGAAACTGGTTTCTTTATGCATGACACGAGAAGTGAAAGATCACTGCCAAAGGCTTATTTCAAATGGACTCATTGTTATGCAATTTCAGGAAACTATAGCCAATTAGTTAATGTCATCACTACATAGAAGATGTCAAAAGGTTACTGTTAGTAAACCTGACCTCATACTATAACACCTCAAACTGTCAAACAGGTTTGAGCAGCGAAAAGAAAGTGCAAATGAACAGACATAAACCAGCACAGACATGTCACACATTCAAATCTAGATTCATGTCGTGCCAAAATGCATCAGTGCAGGTTTGTACAGCTCTCATCTCAGACTGAGTGTAATCCTACATTATTAAAAATGTTATATCTAAAGACACTGGAATCTGTAAGTGGGATGTGTGTCAAAGAAACCAATAAAAAAAAACTTAGGACAGTTTAACTTCCAATAAAATTTCTAACGGTAGGCTTGGTGAATATTTCACTTGTTGGTCATATCATTTTTATTTCAATGGTCAACATTACTCCTCAAGAATACAGGATGACACAGACTAGCCCACACAGGATTCATAGATTAATTTCTTAATGAGAAACTATTCCACGAATAATTTAAAAATAAATCATCCATGTGTTTTGTTGTTGAATTGGTTTAAGAAATCAGTTCAATTTAATGAAATATTACAAAACAAGGGATTGAGCAATATATACTTTTTGACTGATACAAATACAGATTATTTTTGTCTAATAAGTAATAACCAATATGCAGAACTGATTTTTATTTATAGTTTCAAATAACTAAGCAATTATGACTACAATAGCTGGTACAGAATAACTGATTACTGATTAAGTAAAGAGTGATAATAAAACTGATTATCAGTCTCTAGCTATTTTTTATTAATAAGAATATAATAATAATAATAATATATCTAAAAAAATAAAAAATAGCACTGCTGCAGCACAACACATTCAAATGACATAAATGGCTGAAAATAATGACCCTGGCCTGAATTCTTTAATTCATGATGGCCATATGTTGTAAATAGGAAGATTTTTGTTACTAGATTTTCAGACGGCTAGAAACAATATTTTGAACTGAAATCAAGCTTCAAAACAAAACCCCGACTGGAAGACATTTGTTTCTGGCAGACAGTGGCTGACATTTGTTTCCTTTTTTGTAGAGCACTGTATTTCTGGCATTTGGCTTGCCTGTTAAATAAATAAATAAACATTTTATTACGTAATGTACATTGTGTACTATCGCAGAGAATAGACCTGTTACAGCCCAAACTGTACTACAATCACCGACGTACTCCTAGAGTCACTCACGAGCTTCATAATGTTCAAAGAGAGTCAAGACATAACTTGCCTTATTTTCTCACTTTTTCCATCCAACTGACTCCAGTGACGTGTCGGGAGGCAAAGGGAAGTCCAACGATTCAAATACCAAACTCGGCGTGTCTGGGTACTAAACACTGACCCAGCCTAACGGAAAGAATTTGTAGTCTCCTACATTCATCATGTTACCAATGAACCGCCAGTGAAAGAAAGACACATTGACGTTCGTTTCGAAGTTCCGAAACAATCAGTCACGCGACTAAATGCGAGCGAGGAACGAAGAATAATAATGTTGTAAATGAGCATAAACAACAGCACCATCTAGCGGCAGAACTGTCACGCATTCTGTCGATCACATTTTTATATTATGTAGATTTTTTTACAAGGTAACTTATGGGGACATGGATATTTTATAAATAAATGACAGGGGCACGTTTTAAATGTCATACATTCATAAAATGTAGTAGTTGTAACATTTTATTTTATTTACTTTATATATATATATATATATATATATATATATATGTATCTTGCCTTTTATATTTTTGAATGGTTTTGTTTCATATTTGTTTTACTTTTGAATTTTTTGCTGAAAAGTCCTATTATATTATATTATTATATGTAAAATAATGGAATTTATCATAACTAAAATAGAAAAAAACATGTAACATGGCAAGGCCATATTTAATAATATTTGTTACATGCTAAGTCCCTTATATGTTTGTTTTTCGTAAACCTGTTTATAGTATTTTTTAACAAACTAACATTTTTATGGCAAACAAAGCAGATATTTATTCAAATTTTTTAATCCTCCAAAGGCAAAATAAAATCACAAAATATCCGCAAGAGGGCAGCATGGGCTTATAATAAGAAAACGCTGTGACGTTTTCAATGAGATCAGTTTTATTTTGCAGTGCTATGTAACTTACATTATAATATTCAAACCCTGCCAATAAAGCGCTACTATATATATTTCAATTGGTTTATTTAAATATGAAAAGTTCTCAGCAGTAAACATACTAAGCAATAAGTAAAACCTCTAGCTGCATGCAAATAAAAAGGGCGTCAGCGAGTGTCACAGTCCAGTTGCTGTTCAACAACAAGAGCGCGCTGCTCCGCCTACCCTTTTCCACCAATCAGCGGCGAGGCCGCGTGCGCAGATTCAAACCCGTTTCCGGAAGAAGGCTGGGCGCGAGATTCGGCGGGATGGACAAAAAATGAAACAGAAAGAGTGGAAAAAAACACACGCGCTGAGAACACAGTACAGAGTGACAGTACACAGAGGGGTGTGTGTTCAGTGCGGACAAGACTAACACAGAGTTATATTTATGGATTTTCTTCCTTTACCATTTTGAGATCGCACTAAGTTAGAAGTTTTCTATTTTTTACTTTTATTATTTAATAATAAGAATTTTGGAAGGACACTTTTCATTGTCTCATATTTATTGCATTAGGGCTCTCGGGGATGTGACTGTACGGATCTGAAGCTTTTTGCGGAAAATATACCCATATGTGACAGTGGCATGTGTGGATAAAAGTAATCTGTGTGTTTTGATTTCAAGAAGAATTGCAACATTGGATGTTTTAAAGACATTTTCTTTTGAAAAGAACTGGATTTGAACACAGTTGACATGCCCAATATGAAGTCTCGCAGGTGAGATGATGGATCTTATTCAGTGCCTTGCTAACTAAATCAAATATAAAAAGCTAAATCAATCTTAAATTAAATGAGAATAATAATTGTTATCTTATGGAATGTGTATAAATGTAACTTACAGATCGTATGTTGATGCCCAGCTTAAAACATCGGGAGATCGTGTATATCATGTATAGTATATATCTAATATTTGTATCACAACAGAAATCGCTATGGCAACATTGAAGCTAAAAATAACAATAATTAAGAATTCAATTGCACAATATAATCTAAAACGTTATTAAATTATGATATTTAACATGAAATGACAGGTCCCTATGACGCATCACGTTGCACCTGCTGATCAACGAGGTTGATCATGAGTTAAATACTGACTCGTGTTTAAAAAACATAGTTCTTATTGCTAGTTCTGCCATAATGTTTCATCATGCAACAGTTTCGAATGTTTAAGATAAGTGTATTGTGTTAGCCTGAATGCTAGCGGTTAGCCTGTCCTAGATCATTCTCTATTGAACTGAACAGTACAGCCGGAGTCAACTAGCATGCTAACCGGCTATTTTATAATTTCTGAAGTAATCTTAGTCCAAAAATTAAACGAAACTGGCCCCAAGTAAATAAAATGTACTTTAAATTCTAAATTGTAATTAAAATGTAAACTTGTAATTTAATTTAACTTACTTTAAATTTATTTTAAATTAATCTTCAAGTAAAAGTGGTCACAAAACAGAAATGGGGGAAGGTGCAAGTGTTCCAGCTTTAGAGGATTATATGGTATTAGATGAAACAGTTGGGTACTGATGCCTTAATAGGGCATTACATAATAACTACAGATTACTAACATAACATTTATGTAGGAAAAAATCTAATTACTAAAGCAGAATATTTAATCAGTTGTATCTTACTCTTTGTAAACATTTGCAAATGTTTGAAATATTTTTACACTTACATAAATCTGAAAAGGTATTGTAAGTTTATAATTTGCCATGATTTAGAGGGACTTTGGAGGAATTTGTTTTTTTTACAGTTACTGGAAATTAATATACAAAAACTTATATTAAGTTGGTTAGCTGTAAAAATGGATTTGTGTTTATAGAGATACACAATAAATATGAGTTTATATATTAATGTGGATTAGAATAATAATAAAGGAGTAAGAATATTCATCTTGTGCAAAATGCTTTGCACACTTATTCACGTCTAGTTTGGTTTATAAAACTATGTGAGTCAGATTTTCCAAACGATGATGCTTATGAAGAATGGTGACATACAGCTTGCTGTGCCTAAACAAACATGACCATGATGTTATTTATGGATGAACGAAGATGTTAATGTGTGTGTGTGTGTGTGTGTGTGTGTCCTGGTAAACCCTACATTATGTGGACAAAATGACCCCACAAAGATGGCAATATCTGAAATCCATGTACTTGTGGGGACATTTTGTTGGTCCCCAAGAGGAAAACAGCTTATAAATCATACTTTTTTGAAAATGTAAAAAAGCAGAAAGTTTTCTGTGATGGGTAGGTTTAAGGGGAGGGTTAGTGTAAGGGGAGAGAATATACAGTTTGTACTGTTTAAAAATCATTATGTCTATGGAAAGTTTGTGTAAATTTCTGTGTCAGACATTAATGGAAGATATCTGAATCCAATTTCAAAAAGATGACCAGCTGAAGGCCTTAATCTGACTGAGTGGATTTGTCGTATGTACAGATTTGGTCAGTTTGGTCTGCCTCCTGACTGAATGATGTAAGCAAATCACCTCTGAAGTAAAATGGGCTTGTTTATCACCTCACCCCTTCCTTGAGGGTGGAGGTCATACTAAATCATGTTTCTTAAATGTTTCTTAGATGAAACACTCCTTTCATCTGGTGGCTTGTAATACAGAGAGCCAATGTTTCAATGATAAACATGCAGACTGGCAGCAAGAAGGATTTTGGACTTCCATATTTGTACCACTTTAGTCAAAGTTGGACTTTAGCCTAAACACATTTCCTCACAACTTTAGACTTTGCAGCAAGGCATTCTGGTTGAATGAGCTGTTGCATATTTCTTTAATGAGCAGACTTCCTTCCTTGTTCTTCTAGAATCTTTTAGCTTTACAACAAATAGGTTAAGGCTTGAGCTTCGTGTATGTTGGTAGTCACCTTAAGCATTGGATAAATGGTTTTCCATTAAGTTTGTGCTCTGGTATCCCAGGGAGACTTAACTACCCAGTACATGGTGTTGATTAAAAACTCTACCTCACTGCATTGGTGAAATGTTACCAGGCAACAAGGCTATAGGCTGAAGGCTGAACTGTCACTTTGAGTTACTTGTGTGAAAATAACTTATTTTTTTTCTTAAATTTTTTTTAAATGTATTTTAATGGGTAGACTTTAGGATAATGGAAAACATAATATATATTCAAATAAAAACAAAAATCTTTACATGTATGTATGAATGCAAAAACTAATGCACTTGAATAATTTGAATACTTCTGGAATTCATTTTGTTGCTTGTTTTGCTTACTTGCAGACTAATTATACTCAGGCATGTCCTGTTTAACAAGCTAGCAGCGTTACTAAACTGTTTGCATTTTGTATTTACAGATGATTGAACAAGCTTGTCTGTTCAATGGTTTGGGTCAGAATAGATATTTTTCTTTTAATAGTGTTTGACTGTGTGTGTTTCTGTTTGTGTTTAATGGCTGCAGTGAAGATGAGGATGATGAACGTCATTCTACAGATCCTGACAGCAGGGACTCCAAGAATTCTAAAAAGACCCTGTGCAAAATTAAATGGTCCCGGGATGAGGTACTTAATACATGAATTTCTAATTTGCAACCAATCCCACATGTGCTATTTTTAGTTGAAATGAGATCATACTTACTCCTTGGGTTTCAATGATGAAACAGGAAGGGGTGGGAATTGCTACAGTGCTCTTAGTGCTGTCTGTCACAGCGGACTAGTTGTTTCTGAGATGGAAAACTTCATGATCTCTGTTTCACAAACAGGATGAGAAGCTAAAGAAGCTTGTTGAGCAACACGGAGCCGATGCTTGGAAATTAATTGCCAATTATTTCCCAGTAAGTAACTCACTGAATCAGATGCTAAATCATGACTTTGAAAGTGTTTTTAAAATTGTGTACCTGTGGCTGGAATGTTAAAAACTGGTCTAGTTGTAAAGTGAATTACTTACTTTTTCACATATTTATTATCTTTCTATGGAAGAACTAAATTTCAGAAGTGTCTTCTGAAATATTTTAAATTAAAATAAAATTTAAAACATTTAAGGGAACACTATGTAATTTTTGTTGTTAATAAATGCATATAATAAGTGAGTACATCATGAATCCATCTTCCAAAACTTCAGTATGCATATCATAAGTGTTTATATTCAGGCTATTTTAGACTGAGCGGGATGCCAACCGCTGCGGACTAGCCCAGTACCTGTGTAACTCGTCATAAACGGAGAGAAAGTAGCTCCGGCTACAGTGTTCTTCTGCAAGATGCATGTAGTTTTGTTTATTAACTGCTAGAGCGCTAAAAGTCACATAGTGTACCTTTAAAACAAATCTATTTTACACAGATTAGGCAAAAGGTGAGCCACGTATCAAGTTCTAACTTTAGACTGAAAATACTGTTGCAAATTAAAAGACTAGAT